TTTTCTTATTCTTTTTCCTCTACTTTAACTCAACACAAAATTTGACCCTAGCCACAGTGGCCCAGAACGACCTGGAAAATTAGGTTTATTTTTTCTGGCAATGACAATCTGTGCTTGGAAATATAAAACTGTTATTCTGAATAAATTTCAAAGTTTCAAAGTACTAAAATTACTACACTGAAAGAGGACAAAATGAGCTGTTACTGCTAGGGAAAGGGATTGTTATCCCAGAAAGAACACTGTGCTCTCCAACCCTTGCACCACCACTTCTGTTTTATAAAATAAACAACTCTGGTCTCTTTATTTTACTTTGTGGTAATAAATATCTCCTGAAGCTAAAACCCTATTACAAGTGTTCATTTTGTCACCATTTAAAAAAAGATAAAGAAATCAGCTTTACTTTTGCAAAATAACTGATTTTTCCACTAATTTGTAACAGTTGTTTTGATTTCTGTGTATGGCCCCAAGTGAAAACAGCAAAAGGAACGTTGTTTGTTGCTTTTTTTTCTAAAAAGAGGAAGTCCATATGTATCTAAAATAGGTTGACATTCAGAAGGGAAAGAGGCATAAGAATTAGTACTTTGCTGATCTGTAAGTGTTCTTTTAAATTGTGGCAATAAAATACTAAACACAAACTGTACTATTATTACAAGTGTATTCTGCTTTCAGAACACTGGATGAAAATGCTAGCAAAGCTGCAGATTATTAGAGGTCAGAGACAGGTAGGAGTCAGCTCTGTCCAGAGAGAGAGTAGATTTAAAAATATGGCCTGGGCCGGCCGAGTGGTGCGTTATTAGAGAGCTGGCTTGGGACGCCAGAGGGCCCCAGTTCGGATCCCATATATGAGGGCCAGTGACACTGCCCTCTACAGCTGGGATGCTGAGCAATGGCTCTACCTGGAGCTGGGGTGCCAGGAGTCGCCAGCGACTGCGTAGGCTGCAGCCCCTGCTGCAGTGGGTTACCATGTGTAGCCAGCAGCCGCCGTGAGTGGCCAGCAGCCAGCGTGAGCGGCCATCCAGAAGCTGGCGACTGATCTGCCTCACCCGGGAAGAGCGCAATGATGGTGCCAACTTGGGCCAGTGAGGCAACGTCCTCCACAGCTAGACTGAAGAACAAAAGGACAG